ATGCTTTGCGGTGGACCTCAGGCTTAGGATGGTCCAGCAGACCCACCAGGATGGGAATGCCCTTGAGATGCCTCACGTCCTTCTTGATCTTATCGTTCTCGTAGCAGAGGTGCTGGAGGTAGGCTGCGGCGTTCGATTTCACGGGATCGATGGGGTGGCTGAGCATGGCGATGACTTCGGGCAGATCCGGGTCGCGCCATCGGGGGTCTTTGCGGATGCTGTCAATGGAGGGGGAGCGCTTGCCCAGGCGGTCGATGCTGGCCATGCTGCCCCTTTCGGGCTGCGCCAAAGGCGCCGCGTAGCTGCCATGCAAGTACGGGATCCGCTCGTTGACGATTTCGCTCTCGATGGGATCCTCGTAACTCCTGTCGAGAAAGCAACCACAGTAGAGGATGAGTGGTTTATTTTAACGAAAGTCTTTAGTTTAATGAAGAGGACATGATAGCAGTGTTCCAATCTCTCAGGGGCTGCCCCAAAGAAGAGGGAGTCAAGCTATTCTCCAAAGCCCCTGAAGCCAGGACAAGAAGCAACAGATGGAAACTAACCAAGGAGAGAAGCAACCTAGAACTAAGGAGAAACTTCCTGACAGTGAGAACAATCAACCAGTGGAACAACTTGCCTTTAGAAGTCATGGGTGCTCCAACACTGGAAGTTTATAAGAGATTGGACAACCATTTGTCTGGAATGGTATAGGACAGAGGTAGGCAACCTTACGCAAGTGCTTGTAAGTCGAGGACTAGCTGTAGTTGGAGCAGCCACAGGATCACCTGGGGCAGCAGAAGTGAGTGAGTGGTGGAGGACCCACTGCTGGGAACAGAAAGGCTGTTCTCTCCATGGAGCATGTCTTGACCATGATCTGTCCTGACCATGATCCTTACCAATCCAGCTTGTACACACCCAGCTAGATCATTGCCAGAGCCACCAGCTTGCTCACGAACAGCGAGAAGCCTGTCTGATATAGTTATCCAGGATGGGAGATTGTCCCATCCATGTGTTTATTACTTTAGGTCCGTGGTGGCAAACCTATGGCACGCACAGCCCTCTCGGTGGGCACGCACGCCGTCGCCCCAGTCCTAGGCCTTCAGCTGGGTTTTTGCTTTAGGCCTCCGCCTCCATGTGCAAAAAAAAAAAAGGTTCAATCAATCAATTTCAACTTCTCACGGGAAAAAAAAAGATCTCGCAAAGTTGGAATTGATTGATTGAACTTTTTAGTTCCGCCCAGTCTGCCGTTACCACCGAAGCCATGCCCACCCAAAGGGCCACACCCACCCAATGGGCCACACCCACCCAAAGGGCCACACCCACCCGGCACCCGACGATACATAAGTGGGTTTTGGGTTGCAGTTTGGTCACTCGGTCTCTAAAAGGTTCGCCATCACTGCTTTAGGTGGTCACAGAACCCCAACGTTGGAGAGCTCCCAGTTTCACAGCTGGCGGCAAGACGCCCCTTGCAGTGGGCTTTATGGTTTATGCAAAGCCAGGATTAAATGAACCACGGCTTAATAATGCAAGAATCCCAGCGCCCGTCGTTGGCACGTTTTCCAGCCAAGACAAAACGACAGCCACCTGCCAAGTTTGTGCATTTCTGTGTCTTGGCTTCGGTGCGTTGCCACAAAAACCCCACCGCAGAGAGATTATTTCTCTTTTTCTTTCCAAATGACTTTGTGCCCTGAATGAACCTGGATTATATTAGCAGAGCCTACAGTAAAATGTAAAAAGGGGGTCACTTCCAAGTCCATCGCCCTATGAAGGATCCGGTTGGGTCACAATAATAAGTTTTAATTTGAAATAAACTAAGCAGGAAGTTTGATGCATAGGAAAGTTAAAAAATAAATAAATGAAGAAAGCAAGGAGGAAGGAAGGAAGGAAGGAGTCAGAGGAAACCTTCATTGACATCCTTATTGCAATATGTATAATTCATTCGTTTCCCGGGCTGCAATTTACAGTGTCTCAACAGCCATTATGTCTGCTTTTATGCAGGGGAGCTGTTTCCATTCTTCAGCAGAAAAGAAGATAATAATGTTAACATTCATACTAATGTTTTTCCTTGTAAGAAGCGAAAGAGCTTTCCTTGAATACTAAGGAATGCCCAGATAGAGCTAAACAGAGCTTCTGTCCATAGTTCGGAGTGAGATGGGTATGCTTTAAACCCGGTTTGGAATCCGACTCAAAAAGCCGAACTATTTCCTTCTTCTTAAACTCGGCAAGTTTAATTGTGCATCTTGCAAAACCCCTAGAGAGAGAGAGAGGCAGGGAGCATCTGCTTCAATCCCCAGCTGGTTTTTTCCCAGCCGAGCCTCTCAGCAACTGGGTTTCCCTTCTCATCTTCTACCTTTCTTCTCTGCTCCGGGGATGGGGATGGCAGGAAGAAGAAGAAGTGGGTTTGTTCCAGTGAATGGTTCACAATCAGGCAAAGAGGAATCAGAGGAGAAAGAAAGAAAGAAAGAAAGAAAGAAAGAAAGAAAGAAAGAAAGAAAGAAAGAAAGAAAGAAAAAGAAAGAAAGAAAGAAAGAAAGAAAGAAAGAGAGGGAGGGAGGGAGGGAGGGAGGGAAGGAAGGAAGGAAGGAAGGAAGGAAGAGAGAGAGGGGAGGAGAAAGAGAAACAGAAAGAGAAAGAAAGAAAGAAAAAAAGGAAGGAAGGAAGGAGGAGAGAGAGGGGAGGAGAAAGAAAGAAAGAGAAAGAGAAAGAGNGTTGATGCTGCAGGGCGCGGGCAGAGAGTGTGGCCACCATAGCACTGCTGGGCTGCCTGGGAGATCTGCGGCGGGCCCTGGAGGTGGTGAGTGGTCCTGTGGGCAGGTGAGGCGGGGGATGGGGGGCAGAGCAGAGGCGGAGCAGGGAAGTGGAGCAGGGGCGGGGCCAGTTTTTGGGCACTCGGTCTCTAAAAGGTTCGCCATCACTGGACTAGAAGATCTCCAAGGTCCCTTCCATTTGTCATTCTGTTATTCTCTGGCCAGTGAATGGTGAGATGACAAGAACTGGGAAAAAACTATTGCTGCTGCAGGCTCAGGGTCACACAGATTACTTCTCAAGAAAGGCACAAAAAACCAGTCTGCACACCAACCAGCCAATTAACTTTGATTTCTTCCCAGGCAGTTATCGTAAAGGGCTGAACATTTCCAACCCAATGCATTTCAAAAACCAACTACTGCAAACCTCAAATTCAGGAGCAAAAAAAAAACAAAAAAAACCCCACAAGGTTATTATGATTATTATTTGAAGATTGTAATTGCCAAGCACAATTCGAGAACGAGGAGGTGCTGCGTTCTATATTCAATTTGCAAAGAATTCAATTTGCAGGCCCAGTAATGAAAAGATTTATCCAAATGTTTTGCCTTTGCAATGTGTTGTGGAGGCTCACAACAATTAAAATAACCGATTGTTTTCAAATCGCTCGGAAGAGCAATTTGATCAATGCTTCTTGCAAAACGTGGGCTGCATTTATTTTTATTTTTTTTGCAAAGTAGAGAAACGAGTGGTCATTTTCCAAACGCATAAATAACTTGGGGTCGGCTTAGGGTAATATTCACGCCATCCCACTAGGGTTTGTTTAACAAACCATGTTTAAAAAGGTTGCTTGGCGTAACAAGGGTGTGAAGTCGTTGTTTTTGCTAAATGGGTCAGTCAACACACACCGAGATAGAGGAGATTGTCAAGAAACCAAGTTGGTCATACTAATTCAGAGAAGAGCAACTAAGATGATCAAAGGCCTGGAGGCTAAAACATATGAAGAACCGGCTACGGGACTTGGGTCTGGCTAGTCTAAAGAAAAGAAGAAACAGGGGACACCTGATAGCAGTGTTCCAGTATTTGAAAGGCTACCACAAAGAAGAGGGGGTCAAACTATTCTCCAAAGCACCAGAGGGCAGGACAAGAAACAATGGTTGGAAACTGGTCAAAGAGAGAAGCAACCTAGAATTAAGGAGAAACTTCTTGACAGTGAGGACAATTAACCAATGGAACAGCTTGCCACCAGAAATCGTGGGCGCTCCATCAGTGGAGTTTTTAAAGAAGAGACTGGACAGTCACCTGTCTGAGATGGTATAGGTTCTCCTGCTTGAGCAGGGGGCTGGACTAGAAGACCTCCAAGGTCCCTTCCAGTTCTATTCTATTCTATTCTATTCTATTCTATTCTACTCTACTCTATTCTATTCTCCATCCCTCTATTCTATTCTATTCTATTCTATTCTTCTATTCTATTCTATTCTATTCTATTCTATTCTATTCTATTCTATTCTCCATTATTCTATTCTATTCTATTCTATTCTATTCTATTCTATTCTATTCTATTCTATTCTATTCTATTCTATTCTATTCTCCATTCCTCTGTTCTATTCTATTCTATTCTATTCTATTCTATTCTATTCTATTCTATTCTATTCTATTCTATTCTCCATTCCTCTATTTTATTCTATTCTCCATTCCTCTATTCTATTCTATTCTCCATTCCTCTATTCTATTCTATTCTCCATTCTTCTATTCTATTCTATTCTATTCTATTCTATTCTATTCTATTCTATTCTATTCTATTCTATTCTATTCTATTCTATTCTACTCCATTCTATTCTATTCTATTCTCCATTCCTCTATTCTATTCTCCATTATTCTACTCTACTCTACTCTGCTCTGCTCTGCTCTGCTCTGCTCTGTTCTGTAAAATCAGGCCTGCCTCCCTTAACGACCCAACTGCGGTCATTGGTTAAGGAGTCCCTGTAAATTCAACGCAGACCCAGAAATGGAATTTCTGCTCTGCAGAAGTGGTGCTTGCTTTGCCCCCAAGCTCTCAGCCACTTTCAAACTCTCCCAAGAATTACTCTGCGATAAATACCCCGAGGGGAAAGAGAAGCCACTTAAGATGCTCAGTTTCTCCAGCTGTTCTCCAAGGGAGGGCAATGAGTTTGCTGCAAATCGGATCTCCATGGGGAAGTGTAATGCCACACCTCGTTTTATCACTCGGAGAACAGTCAGACCATATGCTGCTTTCTCAAGTCTTATTTCCTTTCCTTTAGGGCCTCCTTGTTCTCATTCCGCTCCGTGCTGAGGATCAGAGAATGATCAGCGGAGGTATAAGATCCTTTTGGAACCTCAAGAGACCACGTCCAAGTTGAGGGATAAACAAAAATGTTATGAATTGTGGCTGAGTCGACCGACAATATAACACAGAACAGCGTGAGTCTGCTGACTGCACCGCCCCCCAGTTTTAATCTAGGACAGGGGTCTTCCAACTTGGTCCTTTTATGACACGTGTGCCTGGCTGAGGAATTCTGGGAGTTGAAGTCCACAAGTCATAAAAGAACCAAGTTTGAAGACCCCTGATCTAGGAAAAGGCACTTGAAGAGAACTCCAAAACCACCACTTCACATGTTCACCATTGAGACCTGCAACATAATGTGGCTGTGGACGTTCAGCCCTATGGATTCACTTGGCTGGTTAAGAGCAGCCTTCATTATAATTCGCAGGGAGGCATGGAGGTTCCTCCATGAAAGCTGCACACTAAGAAGTGGAAACAAAGTAGAACATGGTGCTTCTTCAAGAGGAGAAGAAGGAGACCTCTTGATGATCAATTTGGAGAGTGAGTGGAATTGAAGGCACTAGTAGTACTTCTATCCTACAATAGCTTTCAAGTGAGAATCGTCCTCAGCTCTTCCCCAAAATGCTATCTAGGATCAGACCTAGTTAGAAGTTGGATGGGAGGCACCAGGAAATCCCAATGTCATTGACAAGACCTGACCAAAGATGGCTGAAAGGAGGAAAAGGAGGAGGAGGAGGAGGAGGAGGAGGAGGAAGAGGAGGAGGAGGAGAAGGAGAAGGAGAAGGAGAAGAAGAAAAAGAAGAAGAAGAAGAAGAAGAAGAAGAAGAAGAAGAAGAAGAAGAAGAAGAAGAAGAAGAAGAAGAAGAAGAAGAGGAGGAGGAGGAGGAGGAGGAGGAGGAGGAGAACAAGAAGAAAAAGAAGAAGAAGAGGAGGAGGAGGAGGAGGAGGAGGAGGAAGAAGAAGAAGAGGGGAGAAAGAGGAGAAGAAGGAGAAGGGGAAGGGAAAGGGGAGGAGGAGAAGGAGAAGAAGAACCAACCACTGACCTGTAATGAGTTCTCGTACTTCCATATCATTCGTCTTGCGCAACAACCTGATCAAAGCCGGGATCCCATCACAGTTCTTGATGGCCACTTTGTTCTCATTGTCCTTCCCGTAGGATATGTTCCGGAGGGCCCCGCATGCTTTGCGGTGGACCTCAGGCTTAGGATGGTCCAGCAGACCCACCAGGATGGGAATGCCCTTGAGATGCCTCACGTCCTTCTTGATCTTATCGTTCTCGTAGCAGAGGTGCTGGAGGTAGGCTGCGGCGTTCGATTTCACGGGATCGATGGGGTGGCTGAGCATGGCGATGACTTCGGGCAGATCCGGGTCGCGCCACCGGGGGTCTTTGCGGATGCTGTCAATGGAGGGGGAGCGCTTGCCCAGGCGGTCGATGCTGGCCATGCTGCCCCTTTCGGGCTGCGCCAAAGGCGCCGCGTAGCTGCCATGCAAGTACGGGATCCGCTCATTGACGATTTCGCTCTCGATGGGATCCTCGTAACTCCTGTCGAGAAAGCAACCACAGTAGAGGATGAGTGGTTTATTTTAACGAAAGTCTTTAGTTTAATGAAGAGGACATGAGAGCAGTGTTCCAATCTCTCAGGGGCTGCCCCAAAGAAGAGGGAGTCAAGCTATTCTCCAAAGCCCCTGAAGGCAGGACAAGAAGCAACAGATGGAAACTAACCAAGGAGAGAAGCAACCTAGAACTAAGGAGAAACTTCCTGACAGTGAGAACAATCAACCAGTGGAACAACTTGCCTTTAGAAGTCATGGGTGCTCCAACACTGGAAGTTTATAAGAGATTGGACAACCATTTGTCTGGAATGGTATAGGACAGGGGTAGGCAACCTTACGGAAAGTGCTTGTAAGTCGAGGACTAGCTGTAGTTGGAGCAGCCGCAGGATCACCTGGGGCAGCAGAAGTGAGTGAGTGGTGGAGGACCCACTGCTGGGAACAGAAAGGCTGTTCTCTCCATGGAGCGTGTCTTGACCATGATCTGTCCTGACCATGATCCTTACCAATCCGGCTTGTACACACCCAGCTAGATCATTGCCAGAGCCACCAGCTTGCTCACGAACAGCGAGAAGCCTGTCTGATATAGTTATCCAGGATGGGAGATTGTCCCATCCATGTGTTTATTACTTTAGGTCCGTGGTGGCAAACCCATGGCACGCACAGCCCTCTCTGTGGGCACGCGCGCCGTCGCCCCAGTCCTAGGCCTTCAGCTGGGTTTTATAAAACCTTTTTGCTTTAGGCCTCCGCCGCCGTGTGCAAAAAAAAAAAAGGTTCAATCAATCAATTTCAACTTCTCACGGGAAAAAAAAAAGATCTCGCAAAGTTGGAATTTAGTCCCATCCAGTCTGCCGTTACCACCGAAGCCATGCCCACCCAAAGGGCCACGCCCATCCAATTGGCCACACCCACCCAATGGGCCACACCCACCCAATGGGCCACACCCACCCAGCACCCAATGATACATAAGTGGGTTTTGGGTTGCAGTTTGGTCACTCGGTCTCTAAAAGGTTCGCCATCACTGCTTTAGGTGGTCACAGAACCCCAATGTTGGAGAGCTCCCAGTTTCACAACTGGCGGCAAGACGCCCCTTGCAGTGGGCTTTATGGTTTATGCAAAGCCAGGATTAAATGAACCACGGCTTAATAATGCAAGAATCCCAGCGCCCGTCGTTGGCACGTTTTCCAGCCAAGACAAAACGACAGCCACCTGCCAAATTTGTGCATTTCTGTGTCTTGGCTTCGGTGCGTTGCCACAAAAACCCCACCGCAGAGAGATTATTTCTCTTTTTCTTTCCAAATGACTTTGTGCCCTGAATGAACCTGGATTATATTAGCAGAGCCTACAGTAAAATGTCAAAAGGGGGTCACTTCCAAGTCCATCGCCCTACGAAGGATCCGGTTGGGTCACAATAATAAGTTTTAATTTGAAATAAACTAAGCAGGAAGTTTGATGAATAGGAAAGTTAAAAAATAAATAAATGAAGAAAGCAAGGAGGAAGGAAGGAAGGAAGGAGTCAGAGGAAACCTTCATTGACATCCTTATTGCAATATGTATAATTCATTCGTTTCCCGGGCTGCAATTTACAGTGTCTCAACAGCCATTATGTCTGCTTTTATGCAGGGGAGCTGTTTCCATTTTTCAGCGGGAAAGAAGATAATAATGTTAACATTCATACTAATATTTTTTCCTTGTAAGAAGCGAAAGAGCTTTCCTTGAATACTAAGGAATGCCCAGATAGAGCTAAACAGAGCTTCTCTCCATAGTTCGGAGTGAGATGTGTATGCTTTAAACCCGGTTTGGAATCCAACTCAAAAAGCCAAACTATTTCCTTCTTCTTAAACTCAGCAAGTTTAATTGTGCATCTTGCAAAACCCCTAGAGAGAGAGAGAGGCAGGGAGCATCTGCTTCAATCCCCAGCTGGTTTTTTCCCAGCTGAGCCTCCCAGCAACTGGGTTTCCCTTCTCATCTTCTACCTTTCTTCTCTGCTCCGGGGATGGGGATGGCAGGAAGAAGAAGTGGGTTTGTTCCAGTGAATGGTTCACAATCAGGTAAAGAGGAATCAGAGGAGAAAGAAAGAAAGAAAGAAAGAAAGAAAGAAAGAAAGAAAGAAAGAAAGAAAGAAAGGAAGGAAGGAAGGAAGGAAGGAAGGAAGGAAGGAAGGAAGGAAGGAAGAGAGAGAGAGGGGGGGAGGAGAAAGAGAAAGAGAAAGAGAAAGAAAGAAAGAAAAAAAGGAAGGGAGGAAGTAGGAGAAAGAGGGGAGGAGAAAGAAAGAGAAAGAGAAAGAGGAAGGAAGGAAGGAAGGAAGAAAGGAAGAGAGAGAGGGGAGGAGAAAGAGAAACAGAAAGAGAAAGAAAGAAAGAAAGAAAGAAAGAAAGAAAGAAAGAAAGAAAGAAAGAAAGAAAGAAAGAAAGAAAAAAGGAAGGAAGGAAGGAGGAGAGAGAGGGGAGGAGAAAGAAAGAAAGAAAGAAAAAGAGAAAGGAAGGAAGGAAGGAAGGAAGGAAGGAAGGAAGGAAGGAAGGAAGGAAGGAAGGAAGGAAGGAAGGAAGGAAGGAAGGAAGAGGGGGTGAGAGAGAAGAAGAGATAATCTTAAGGCTTCTTTGACTTGTCAACTGAAAGCAAGCAACTCTTTGGCACCTTTACCAAAGTTTGACATGGACATATAGATCACTGACCTTCACTGTAAAATGAGCAGACCTTCTAAAGGTATCTAGAAATGCCAATTTCTGGCACATTTGGAGAAAATAGCTGTTCCAGGCCTCCTGGAAAATGCCACTTTGCTTCACTGCGTTTACGGAATAAATCACCGTCAGTTGTGACACTACACCGGGTGCCCTCGTGTGATGGATGAATCACGGCGCCTTTCTCAAAAGGAATCGTATATTACTTACGTATGTATTTAAACATGATATGCCTATATTCGCAGCCCAGAATGGAATTTCAAAGAATGTACCAAAGGGTTCCAAAGAAAGCAATCCTCAAATGCAGGCTGGGCCATTATCCTCACGTTCAACGGCGCGATATTACAGAAATAAAAACGAGCTACATTCAGCTAAACAACAGGTAAATGTGCCATTGATCAAACTTAGCCACTTCGGCGTGGCAAACTCGCGAGGGTTATAAATAAGGCAGGCCCTGAATTCTGCTTTTATGAAGATAAGTTTTACTTTCTAAAAATACCCCTTAAAGGGACATTAAGCTGATTTCTTTTTCAATCCATTTTAAAATCCAGTTTTGGTCACCACGATGTAAAAAAGATGTTGAGACTCTAACAAGAGAAGAGCGACAAAGATGATCAGGGGACTGGAGGCTAAAATATATAAGAAACGGTTGCTGGAATTGGGTATGTCCAGTTTAATGAAGAGAAGGCTGAGGGGGGACATGATAGCAGTCTTCCAGTATCTCAGGGGCTGCCCCAAAGAAGAGGGAGTCAAGCTCTTCTCCAAGGCACCTGAAGGCAGGACAAGAAGCAACGGATGGAAACTATCCAAAGAGAGAAGCAATCTAGAACTAAGGAGAACTTTCCTGACAGTTAGAACAATTAACCAGTGGAACAACCTGCCTCCAGAAGTTGTGGGTGCTCCAACACTGGAAGTTTTTAAGAAGAGACTGGACAGCCATTTGTCTGAAATGGTATAGGGTTTCCTGCCTGAGCAGCGGGTTGAACTAGATGACCTCCAAGCTCCCTTCCAACTTTATTATTATTATTGATCATCGCACGGTCAGCCAGATGTTCAGACTGGATCTGGCATTTTTGTCTACCTATCGAGTCCTTGCCAAGGACCTGGGATAGGCAGATGTGGATGTTTGATGGTATTACAGATATCGTCGCAGGATGGATTTATGCTCCTTGCAGACAGCTGGTCATTTGCCTTCTTTTAGAGAGTCGTTGAGGCCACTTGGAGGTTTATCTGTGTCCTAGGGTCACCTGAGTGGTGCAAATGGGTGTGGAGCCTTCTTGGAACTGTTGAAAGGACTGTGTTGTAGACTGAAGTGGCCTCAAGGGCTCTTTCTAAAAGAATGCAAATGACCAGCTGTCTGCAAGGAGTGTAAATCCTTCCACTCCCCACCATCCAGTCAGAGCTGAAGAAGCTTCTTGGATGAGAAGCGAAACATCTTCAAAGAAAAACAAGAAAATCCAGTTGCCTCCTAAAAAAGCACTTTTGGGAAAGGCCCATCCAATCTTCTTACCCTTGGAACCATGAAGAAAAATAAATTATTCCCACCTAACAGACCCCCCTTTTTATATCTTTAAATTTAGGAACATCGGCTCCTAGCTTGGTCCCCTCCAGACTTTTGTCTCGTCTACAATGACTTAGACACAGTTCTTCAGTAGTCAACCCCAAAGTTCATTCCCTCTTTGCTTATGATTTACCACCAAACTCTAATCCTTCCAGCGATCATAGTCATATTTCACGCATCACAGTTAATTCGGTCTAATGCTTCCTTATCCCACTGTCCAAGGCAGAGATTGAGTTTACATATCACATTAAGCCACTCGATGCTTTGACTTAGCACGCCAAAGTCTAAGAACAGCTTAAGACTTTGCATGTTGTGTGTGGCCTCAGCCAACTGTGGTTTAATCGTTCAACCGTGGCTTAGCAGGATATGTGAAGGCAAGCAGAGCAGGGAAGTAGTTTCATCCATGGCAGACAGCATTATCAAAGGGAATCAACCAAGAGAGACCATTATGGATCTGCCAGGTTCAAAGGCAGTATACCACTCAATGCCAGTTGCAGGGGAACAGCTGCAGACGAGAGCTAATGCTTCCACGACACGCTGTGGACCGTCCAAAGCCATCTGCTCAGTCTTTACGACAAGTAGAAGATTATGGCCTTTTTCTCTCAACACATAATTAAAACAGGATTTGCTTCGAGGAGACCGAGTGACACATGCCAACTTGAATAGCCCAAGGAAGCTTCAACGAACGGCTGAAGGGCAAGGACAATCACTGGCTACTGATCAAGATGGATGTATATTTCGCATCCAGGATCAGACGCAGCAAGCGTATGGCTTGGGAACTTCAATGAAAACTCCCTCCTGGGTGATCCAGTTTTGATGGCCACGATATAAAAAAGATGTTGAGACTCTCGAAAGAGTGCAGAGAAGAGCAACAAAGAGGATTAGCAGACTGGAGGATAAAACATATAAGGAACGATTGCTGGAATTGGGTATGTCTAGTTTAATGAAAAGAAGGACGAGGGGGGACATGATAAGCAGTGTTCTAATATCTCAGGGTTGCCCCAAAGAAGAGGGAGTCAAGCTATTCTCCAAAGCGCCTGAAGGCAGGACAAGAAGCAACGGATGGAAACTCATCAAGGAGAGAAGCAACCTGGAACTAAGGAGAAATTTCCTGACAGTTAGAACAATTAACCAGTGGAACAACCTGCCTCCAGAAGTGCTGAATGCTCCAACACTGGAAGTTTTTAAGAAGAGACTGGACAGACATTTGTCTGAAATGGTATAGGTTTCCTGCCTGAGCAGGGGGTTGGACTAGAAAACCTCCAAGGTCCCTTCCAACTCTGTTATTCTGTTATCTCCTGGTGTAGGTTTTTTTGATGCTTCGGGTTTTCCATTCCAGATATGGAACGTTTTCTTGCATCTCTGCTCAGACGCAGCTCTGCCTTTCTTTGGGCAATTATCACGGGACCAAAATTGATTTGGGCATATAAATTTCCAGGCAGGCAGACAGAAATCTCCTTTTGTGCACTCATTTATATTTGCAGGCACTTTCTGAACCGTTTCCTTCCTCTCCCCACCTCCCGATCTATATTCAAATGTGAGCTTGTTCGGAAACTGGGTCAACAGTGACAAGAAAGAGGAAAGCAGAGAGAGAGGAAGGAAGCATGGTGGAAGGAACTGGCTACCTGGTTGGTTAGAGACTGGTGGAAAACGGCAACTGCAATTAGGACAAGAAACACAGCTATAACCAGTTCATTACTGGTCAGAAGTGGATTGCTCTGTGATGGGTAAGCAGCGGAAACGAGATGCCCTGGGCAAAATCCAGCTCATTAAGATATCAGGAATGAGAGTCCTTGAGTTGCAAAGGGTCCCTTAGGATACAGGTATAGTCCTCAACTTACAACCAAGAATGAGCCCAAAATTTCTGTTGCTGAGACATTTGTTCAATGAGTTCTGTCCCATTTTAATGGCTTTTTTTGCCACACTTGTTAAGTGCGTCATTGTAGTTGTTTAAGTTAGCAACCTGGCTTCCCCGTTGACTTTGCTCGCCAGAAAGTCGCAAAAGGGGAATCCCAAGAGACGCTGCAACCGTCATAAATACGAGTCAGTGGCCAAGCGTCTTGAATTTTGATCACGTGACTGTGAGGATGCTGCAACGGATGTTAGGTGTGGGAAACGATCGTAAGTCACTTGTCAAGATAATGATTTAGAAGCTAACCCGCTGATGTAATGTAATATAAGAGGTAGTGATGGGAATGAAACAGCAGGGTCTGTGTCTCTTTAAGAGCAAGCAGGGTCTGTATCTCTTTAAGAGCTTTGTATAAAAAGGGAAGGCTCTTCAGAAGCGTTCTCTCTCTCTCTTCTGTTTTCCTGCTGTAACTGCTGTGTGTTGGATCCTGCTGTATTAGCATGCTCTGACATCCCTTTTTTCAGTGCCGTTGCAACTTTGAACAGTCACTAAACGAATCATTGTTAAGTCAAGGACTACCTGCACTCTCTCATGAAAATCGACTTTCAACCTTCCTCTGCCAGCTGGGTTTGTTTATCTATGGGCCAAGTTTCATTTATCGGCAGAATTATTAACCTTTCAAGACTTATTGAAAATCAATCCCTTCGCTCATTTTTAAATGGAAAGAAAGCTCCTGGACTCACTCTTCCTCCGTTCAGCCTCGACAGAAAGCAGAAAAGGGGGAGAAGAGAAAAAGCGACAGTAAATCAGCCAAACGTGTCACTAAGTGGAGAAACGGATGTCTGGGTGATTGTAGGAAAGCGGGGGATATCTTGACAGTGGATGGTCTCGGCTAATGGATATTGTCAGAAGTTAGCAGAAACAGGCAGTATATCACGCAAACAAGATCCCATGTGGGTAGCTGAGAAGAAAAGGGAGTTGATCAAGTTGGCTCCTCCAGCTTTTGAGATCTACGGGAGAAAATCTGAGCTTCAGTCGTCAAACCAGCCCAAGGCAAGGACAAGAGAAGGATAAGAATCAATTAATTAATGGATGGATGGATGGATGGATGGATGGTCGGTCGGTCCTTCATCTCTTTGTTGTTTGGGACTAAAATAGAACTACTTGCCTCCAGAAGTTGTAAACGCTCCAACACTGGAAGTTTTTAAGAAGAGATTGGACAACCATTTGTCTGAAATGGTATCGGGTTTCGTTCCTGAGCAGGGGGCTGGACTAGAAGACCTCCAAAGTCCCTTCCAACTATTCTATTCTATTCTATTCTATTCTATTCTATTCCATTCCATTCCATTCCATTCCATTCCATTCCATCCCATATTCTATTCTATCCCATCCCATATTCTATTCTATTCTATTCTATTCTATTCTATTCTATTCTATTCTATTCTATTCTATTCTATTCTATTCTCCATTCCTCTATTCTATTCTATTCTGTTCTATTCTATTATATTCTCCATTCCTCTATTCTATTCTATTCTATTCTATTCTATTCTATTCTATTCTATTCTATTCTCCATTCCTCTATTCTATTCTATTCTGTTCTATTCTATTATATTCTCCATTCCTCTATTCTATTCTATTCTATTCTATTCTATTCTATTCTATTCTATTCTATTCTATTCTATTCTATTCTGTTTTGCATTCTGTTCTGTTCTGCATTCTATTCTATTCTATTCTATTCTATTCTATTCTATTCTATTCTATATTCTATTCTATTCTGTTCTGCATTCTATTCTATTCTATTCTATTCTATTCTATTCTATTCTATTCTATTCTATATTCTATTCTATTCTGTTCTGCATTCTATTCTGTTCTGCATTCTTCCTATTCTATTCTATTCTATTCTATTCTATTCTATTCTATTCTATTTCTATTTCTATTTCTATTTCTATTTCATCCCATCCTCTATTCTATTCTATCCTATTCTATTCTATTCTATTCTATTCTATTCTATTCCATTCCATTCCATTCCATTCCATTTCTATTCTATTCTATTTCTATTCTATTTCTAATGAAACATCTCCAGCAAAACAACCAAACTCGGAGAGCACCAAGAACCCCACAGACCTCCTCCTCCTCCAACCTCCCTCCCTTTAACACTGCTGATGTGACCTAGTTGGGTAATGAAATGTCTCCAGCAAACCAACCAGGCTCAAAGAGCACCAAGGACCACACAGTCCTCCTCCTCCTCCTCCTCCTCCAACCTCCCTCCCTTCTAGCCCTGATGATGTTACCTCCGCACTAAAACAACCAAACCCAAAGAGCACCAAGGACCACAGAGTCCTCCTCCACCCCCCTTCCCCCTTTCCACAAACCCCACCCCCTTCTAAAGTGACGATGTTCCCTAGCTGGGTCATGAAACATCTGCAGCAAAACAGCCCAGCTCAGAGAGCACCCCACAGTTCAAAGATTCTCTCCTATTGTGATCTGCTTCTGCGGACTGTAGCCAACCTTGAGCAAAGGAGCTTAACGGCAGGTGAGTGAGACAGATGGCACGTTAGCAACCTTCAGTGATTAAATTCTGGGCCTTGGATATAAAAGTCTGGCTAGTTGTATTAATCTACTGGGATACCCCTACTGCAGCATTATTATACTTCCTTAATAATAACTTATCAAGTTTCGTACATATAATATATAACTTATCACGGAGAGAAGCAACCTAGAAGTAAGGAGAAACTCCCTGACAGTGAGAACAATTAACCAGTGGAACAACCTGCCTCCAGAAGTGGTGAGTGCTCCATTACTGGAGGTTTTCAAGACAGTCATTTGTCTGGAATGGTCTAGACTCTAGGGCAGGGGTCCCCAAACCCTGCTCCGTGGACCGGTACCGGGCCGTGGCATGCCAGCAATCGGTGAGCATGAACAAACAAAGCCCCATCTGTGGGATCCAGGCAGCACACAAAACTACACACTCTCCAGTCCGTGGAAAAACCTTTCTCCACGGAACTGGTCTCTGGTCCCCAAAAGGTGGGGGACCTGTGGCCTAGGGTCTCTTGCCTGAGCAGGGGGTTGAGCTAGAAGACCTCCAGGGTCCCGTCCAACCATTATTCTGTTAATCAGTGGAATGACTTGCCTGCAGAAGTTGTGGGTGCTCCATCACTAGAGGTTTTCAAGAAGAGATTGGACGGCCATTTATTGAGCAGGGGGTTGGACTAGAAGACCTCCAAGGTCCTTCCAACTCTGTTATTCTGTATTGCCATTCCAAACCCTCGCTACTTTTTCAAAGCAGAGGAAGAACCAAGAACCCAGACAAAGGGGAACGTTCTTGAGAAGGTGCCATAAATAAGGTTAGTACGGTGGTGAGGTCTTCTCCACTACCAGACCTCAAGCTCCCCCGCAGGTCCGAATCGAGCAGACTTTCCACTGCTCCTGCAGGACAAGGGTCCTACAACGAGCTGCTTACCTCCCCCCATCTAACCCTGCATTTACCTTCCCTTGTGGGGTCTCCCTCTCTCGGGGAGCCCAGCCGACGTCCTCCGATTCACCGTCGAGTACTCTGGATCGAGTTCATACCCTTCGTCGTCAATTCCGAGGCTGCGGTTATCGTCCTCCAGCCCGTACGGCTCAGGTTGGAACCGTTCCGGCTGGGAGCGGTTCAAGTCCGCGTTACTGCCCGTTGGCACCTGCGGTTGGGCCAGCGGTCCATAGTTATCCCTCCTGCTTGGCAAAGTGAAGCTCCCATCCTCGGGCCGGTAATTGTTCCCAGGTGCGTAGGCGTAATGTGGGCGGTAATTGACACTCCGGGACAAGCTTCCGTAATTGTCTGGCAGGTCGCCGTAACCGTTGTGGCTTACGAAGGAACGATACTGGCCATCGTGACCCTCTGGATAGGAATCGTTGTAGCTGTTATAAGAGCGGTTCAAGGTGGACGAGGCCTGGGGGGTGATGTATCGCTCGCCGTTCTTGACTTGCCTTCTGTCGATGGAGTCGGTATAACTACCCATGGGGGATGACCCGTCCATCGTAGGGAGGCCATCGGGACCAAGGGGGACCTGGCGCACCGTTCTAGTCGTGACGGTCTTGACCATTTTGGTTACCTGCGAGGCAGAGAGAGAGGAACACAGACGTTATTTATTTCTGGAACCCCGGTGGGCTGCAGTGTAAATAATTTTACACACACACCCCACTTCTGCACCAATGCCTTCCAACCCAAAGGAGTAAGAGGATGAGCCATTGGCCATCGGTTGGTATCCTTCACAAGGAGGTTGTGCCAAAGAGCTACGCCTATCTCAACCAGCATCCTCTTCATCCCCCCCCAGTCAATCGGATCACAGGTGTTTAGTAGTAGTCATGACGTCATAGGTGACATCATCACGGAAATGACATACTGTAATTCATGCCACTTGTGTTGGGATGTCCCTTGTCCCACCATTGTGGACATCCATGGATCAGGAATAGAATAGAATAGAATAGAATAGAATAGAATAGAATAGAATAGAATAGAATAGAATAGAATAGAATAGAACAATAGAATTGAATAGAATAGAATAAGATTAGATTAGATTAGATTAGTACAGAACAGAATAGACACAGCCAATCAGATCACAGATGTTTAGTAGTAGTCATGATGTCATAGGTGACATCATCACAGAAATGACATAATTCATGCCACCTGTATTGGGATGTCACTTGTCCCACCATCGTGGACATCCATGGATCAGGAATAGAATAGGTTAGAATAGAATAGAATAGAATAGAATTAGAATAGAATAGTAGAATAGAATAAAAATAGAGCAGAACAGAGCAGAATAGAACAGAAGTAGAATAGAAAAGAATAGAATAAAATAGAATAGAATAGAATAGAATAGTATTTCCTGCCTGAGCAGGGGGTTGGACTAGATGACCTCCAAGGTCCCTTCCAACTACTACTATTACTTATTATTGTTGTTGTTGTTGTGAACCATGATAGAGCCAACCAGGTGTTAACATAGATTGAATCCAGAGTCAGCTCTGTTCTGAAGGCTCTTCTTTTCATTCTGGAGTTGCTGCGGACCGAAGATGCTTTGACCTTACTAGGATAGTTCATGAAACACAACTTTCCTTTGCAGAAGAGAAGCTACAGATTATCTTGCTCCAAAGCTATGCACAAAAAGTCCTCTTCATGATCTTCCACCCCTATAAACATGCCACTTGGCTTAAGATCCATCCGGGCGTTTGCTCAACAAAGGGGGTGGAACTGACGCTAGCCACCCTTTAATAACACAAACACACGTTGTCAAAAGAACAGGGTAAACACAGCCTGTTCCATGAACGTCTGACACCCGTGGGTGTGTTGGTATGCCTGGGTTAACAACACCCCACAAAGTTTTGAACAGCCGAAGCTTGACGGGCAATATTTATAACCTCCAACGGGCAGCATGCATTTGAAAAGAAGCAAATCAGGAAAAAAAAATTCTGTTTGAGCCCATTTTTCGCCCTGCCTTCCTTCTTCTCAACCAGAGATTGGCTTAGATTTACCCAGAAACAAAACATCTCACCGTCCCACCAGAGCTGGGGCAGTAATTCCCACACAGCAGCAACAACAAATACATTTTTTGTTGGTGAGACATTAAAAAAAAAAAATCTGCTCAAAAGGAGAAGAACGAAGCCACTTAAGCTAGTTCAAAGGAGAAATGGGTAGATCGATAAGAACAGGAAGAAGACAACGATCTTAAAAAAGTGGGATGGAGTGCTTAAAATAAAGTTTTAAGACACTTTTGCCGATCAATATGTGGTTCCAGAAAGTTCCTCTACACTTGAAGCCGATATCCATCAGACATCTGGGCTGTAGCAATGGGAAATCTGCATTCAGCATGCACCATGTTTTAGAAATTATCAAAGAGGTTGAAGATAGAAAAATGAAGATATTTTGACCTGCAATAACTGATTAAAAATGGAGAGACCAACACCGGATTAGCTGCAACGGGTCTAGTGGTTACGTTTTGTCTAGGGAGCCAGTTTGGTCTAGTAGTGGTTAAGGCACCAAGCTAGAAAGCAGGAGAATGTGAGTTCTAGTCCTACCTTAGGCATGAAAGCCAGCTGGATAATTCTGGGCCAACCACCAGGAGACTGTGAGTTCTAGTCCCGCCTTAGGCATGAAAGCTAGCTGGATAATTCTGGGCCAACCACCAGGAGACTGTGAGTTCTAGTCCCGCCTTAGGCATGAAAGCTAGCTGGGTGATCTTTGAAAAAGAACCTGGAGATGGTGGAGTTCTAGTCCCACTTTAGGCATGAAAGCCAACTGGGTGACTTTGGGCCAATCACCAGGAGACTGGGAGTTCTAGTCCTGCCTTAGTCATGAAAGCCAACTGGGTGACTTTGTGCCAATCACCAGGAGACAGTGAGTTCTAGTCCTGCCTTAGGCATGAAAGCCAGCTGGGTGACTTTGGGCCAATCACCAGGAGACAGTGAGTTCTAGTCCTGCCTTAGGCATGAAAGCCAGCTGGGTGACTTTGGGCCAATCACCAGGAGACAGTGAGTTCTAGTCCTGCCTTAGGCATGAAAGCCAGCTGGGTGACTCTGGGCAAATTTTTGATACCTACTTCCACTCAATCATATAAGTAGAGTTGACTTAGGGAGTTAGAGAGTTGGGGGTCCCGGGGTACGTGGTCCATTTGGTTAGCTGTTGGCTTTGCGAACTCAAAAAGCGAGTTGATTTAAGAATCAAGCTAATAGTAGGTGCCCAGTGTCGTTGTAACTTCGGACGGTTACTAAAGGATTTGTTGTAAGTTGAGAATTACCTATAGTAGGTCACTTGTGTTTCAAACGTACCTTTACTTTGTTTTAAGAGCTAGGGGACCCCCTGAAACAATTTTCAGATTAGAAGTCTGACAATTCCTAAGGTGAAAGAGAGCAAAGACAACCGAGTTCGTCTTTCCAACAACCTTGTCTCAACTTGGCTGAGACAACAATTCTCAGCCGATATTGCGCTGTCCAGGGTCCTGACCTCGGCCCGCTTTATCCAACATAACCCTTCATTGATGGAAGCTGTCAAAAATACCCTTTATCGGACTCGTGTCATAAAACACCAAGTGGGGAAGGAGGAAGCACTGAAGGATAAAAGCATCTTGACATTTCCAAATGCTTATTTTTTTGGACAGCTCGGCTGTAAAATTATTAGGCCAAAGAGAGACAAGCCATTATCTCATTAGCAGAAGGTTGTAAAAAACAGGCGTCCTCTGGAGGCTGATGAAATGGGAAGCTCAGGTCTCCCTCCCCCGATGGCCACTTTAATTAAAAAAAGTCTTTTGCTTTTCAAAAACGGCTGGAGGAAGCCAAGATAATTTCCATGAGGTCCTGGTACTCTGTGTTTTCTTGCAGACGTTTCATTACCCAACAAGCTTACATCATCAGAGTTGGAAGGGGGAGGAGGAGGAAGAAGAAGGAGGGAAGAAGGGAGGGGGATTGTGGGGGCCCTCTCTCTGAGATCTGTTTTTTTCTTGCAGAGGTTTCATTACCCAACTATGTTACATCATCAATGCTAGAAGGGACTGGGGTTTGCAGATTGGAGGAGCAGGGGACCATATCGGGTTAGGGGAGCACGCACACGCTATTTACAAGCTTGTGGGTGCTCCGGTCCTCAGGCTCCTACTCGGTCTCCAGGAGACTTAGATCCCCCGGCCTGGGACTATCGGCTGTTGTTATGTAACGCCAGGTCCGTGGTAAATAAGGCCCCCCTCATACAAGACCTTATTCTAGAGGGGGATGCGGACCTGGCGGGTATTACTGAGACCTGGTTGGGCGTCGAGGGAGGAGTCCCTCTTGTAGACATCTGCCCACCAGGTTTTCAGACATTCCATCAGCCGAGGACCCGGGGTAGGGGCGGGGGGGTAGCGGTCATTATAAGGGAGAGCCTTCATCCTAGGGAGACCACTGTGCCTCAGATAGACGGTGTGGAGTCCCTCCTTGTGAAATGGGGGCAAGGGGTTCAAGTGGGCTTGTTGATTGTATACCTGGCTCCCTGCTATGTATCAACGGCCCTGCCTGAGCT